AATATCATCTTTAAGACTTAAAACAAGACTAACATGAATAAAAAAAAGAAAATGCAGATAGAACACTATAATTCTCAGGTGACGATATATTAACGGCGAAATATGACAGCAGGTCTGAAGTATTATTAAGTATTCATCAGATTTTTTTTTTAAATAATCTATATTGGCCTAACCTATACAGGTTATAGTCATTTTTTTTTTGAAAAATTGTTGCAAATGGAAAAACGACCTTTTGAAAAATCACTCCTCAACTATAGATTTAACAAAAACATTTTTAGTTCGACAAAGATTTAATATAAACATAAAGTAATTTTTATTGCCATGACAATATAATAACAACTATTAGGTACTCTGTTGGATGAACTTTTTTTTATAAAAGCTCAACATTGCTGCTTCATTATAGTAAATGGGAATTTTATCAACCGTAAAAAAGTTCATTCTGTAATTAAAAATAATCTCATTACTTTGACAAATAGTAGGTTTTTGTCCCAATAAGACACTAAATATTTAATAAAAAAGGTACCTTAGGTGGTAAATTTTTTTATAGCCATTACAATTTGAAATTTAAGTTTTTTGGCAAATATTATATAAAACTTGAAATCAAGTTTTACACAACAAATTAATAAAACATCACATTGCCAAATTGTACCCTCATATTAATTTAAACTCGATCTCGTAACAAAAGTGTTATGCTATCATTTTAGCTAAGCCTTTCGCTACGAGATGTTAAAAACCAATTCCTCTATGGCGTGTAAAATGTTTCCGTTCCGTTGTGAAATGCATGTGCCACTTATAAATATAAAATAAGTTGTCGATTGCATCATAAGCTTGCAAAGCGAGAACAAATTCTTAAGTTCAGTCCCAGAACAGGCTGGTGCAGAATCCGATGATTCGGTCACTTTCACTGGTGACACTCATAAATAAAGACCCGCGGTTTTAACACGGTTTTGTTTTTATTTTTTATAGGTCAGATTGTAATGAGTTCGCACCATTGCATTATGGTTTATGTCTGTACCAAGAAAAGTGTGAAAGTCTACTTTTTTTACTTTAACTAACAATTATAATTGTAACTTTAACTATAGTTATCGCCAATAATAAATTTATTATTATAATACATTATATATAAAATAATGAAAAATCATAAAAAATCAGAACACAATTTAATAGAAATTCATATTATCCAAACCAGATTTTTTAACATTCTTATTTGGCCATAATATGGCCATCATATTTTTATCTTCTTTCTTTTTTCCAATTTATAATAAAGCTTCAGCCCGTGACTTAAAACCCCAAGAGTGACTTAAACGTCATAAGCCACAGCTCGTCAATGTCAAAAATGACTAATTTAATAGTTATTAGTGGCTGCTTTTTCACTTGTACCCCATGGTAAACCATGGAATACCATGGTATCCCAAAATTTAACAGCCAATTCTTATGTAAAATTCTCCCCTGAATCCCGAAATACCGTCAAAAATTATGAAAGTGTAACAGTTTTTGACATATAGTCAATTCCATTTTAAATGGAAAATTGGCTATATATATATATATATATATATATATATATATATATATATATATATATATATATCTCAAAAACTTACTTTTTTAACTTTTGACGGTATTTTCGGATTCAGGAGACAATTTTACACAACAATTGGGTGTTAAATTTTGGGACAGTTAACCATGGTACAAGTGAAAAAGCAGTCATTTTTGACTAATTCATTTTTAGAGAGTAGGTAGTCCCTAGATAAAAATACATAAATAATAACTTATATTCATGTTAAAACACAAAACAAATTTAGGATGTAAGGTTCATTTAATCCGATATTATCAAAAATAATTGCAAAATCCCTAATTATAATTAACATATATGTTTTTTATTATTAGTGGTTTTTAGAGACAAGGGTAAGCTACTGTTTTTAACAAAAAACCTTAAACGTTTTGGAATTTTTATTATTATTTAAACAAAAGGCGATTTTGGCGTTTCTGCATTATCTGTCTGTCTATAGACAGTAAGTAGTATCTATAGATACTACTTACTTATCAAACCACATTTATGTGTAAATTAATTGAGAAAAGGGGCAAATTCTTCCGAACGCATGAATTAAAAATAATTTTGGATTCTCCATATGGTATTTGGTACACCTTGCTTTTACATTTTCTATCAAAAATTTTAAAAAATATATTAAAAAATTTGTTAAAAAAAGATGTATATTAACCTTAAAAAATTGTACAAATTTCTATATATGGTATTTCACGTAAACCTTTCATTGTCTACAAATTATATACAGGGTGTTTCACATAAAATTCTGAGTAAAATTACTATACCATGTCCTATAGCTAAAGTGAATAGTTTTTGAGTTATTATTTTTTTTCGTTGGAAGAATATTTTAGAAAATTAGACTAAAATATTAGAAAATATTATCTTTATTCTTGTACCAGACAAAAAAAATAATTTTCTCTTTCATACTTCGAAAAAAAGAAATTTAAAAAAATTAAAATGGGACAGTTTAAAAAATTCAATTTTCACGAGAAATACACATCTGTTATGTAAAGAAAAGTCATAATTATTGTTAAATCAAATAGTTTTTTAATTATACATGCATGTCTAAGTTTTTAATATATGACGTGGTTTATTACTATTTTAGACACGTTTTATTTGTGCCGACTGGTATTTTTAATTCAATGGCTTTGTATAATATAAAGGTATTTAATGAAAATTTGATTGGTTATGTAAATTTAACGCCTTAAAAATGATAAATATGTTATGTTTTAAATGCAAAACTGTAATTATTGCATTAGGCAACATTTAAAAAATTAAAAAAAAATTGTGACCTGTAGAAAGGGTCAACAGTTCAAATCGTAAGAAAACTTCTACTTCTAGAATCTTATAAGATATAGATCTATAGACATGTTATTTACTAAAAGCAAAGCTTCCAAAATTATTTTCGGTTCTGTAATGAGATACTTTATCAAAGCCAAAATTTTGATTTTATAGGTTGGCTATACTTTAAACAGCATAATATTTTGCATATTGGTTATAATATTTTTATGATTTTTCTAGTATATACGAGACTTTTCTGGCAATAAATTTTGTTTTAACACCAAAGAAAATCCTTTTTTTCTTCTTTAACATTAACAGCCGCTTATTGTAAATAAGTAAATTAAGGACGGCATGGCGAATCGATTTTGACATTAACTGTCAAACCAATGACTGATACCAACTATCTGAAGTAAAATTCGCCAAATTAAATTTAAGGTATAAAATTAATTTTTTTAAAAGAATTTTTACAAAATAGATAAAATAGCATAAAGAACTCTATTCTGAAAAAAACTGTTACCGTGTGACATTGGCCCAAATCCGAAATATTTAAAAATCCAATTAGAAGTTGAAATGAATGCACTTTAATGACATTGTTTTTGCAACTGAAAGATAATACAAACACTAGTGCGGTTAAAGGCAATTACCATCAAACTAGATGCGAATATTTCGGTCATAATATTGACGTCGAAACTTTCGTTTTTAGGCATTATGTAAGCCAAAGTCGTTTATCGGAATTGCATTGCACACACGCAGAAAATTATTGGGTTTAATTTTTGTTATTGTTGGTCAATCGTAAATGCTGAATTATAGGATATTATCAATTACCTATATATGAAGATAATTTTGTGCTTAGTTAGTTGTAATCGGATATACAATTAATGATAATAATATGAAGAATGCTTTAATACATAATTTTATCTTTAGAAAGGGCCAATTTAAGTATTAAATATGGTAATACATTATTGACATAGAGTTTCATCAGATAAAGGTTGAAACAATAAAGTATAAAAAAAAATTAAGCATTTTTTAAATACTTTTGTTTAACAGTCGCGGCCCGTGACATTTCCTTAAAAGGCGAAGAAATTGTTTTAAACCCAACTTAAAAAAACTGACATCGCAGTTTACAACCTATACTTAAAAACGTTTATTTTAAATAAACCTCATTTTTGTCTAATTAATATTTCATTGTTCAGCAAGAACCACGTGAAGGTCAACAATATCCGTACAATTTCTCACCGTAATATCCATAATGACTAAATTCACATAAATCGCCAAGTTCAATTAACTAAACCCACAGAATAAACCACTTACAAAAGAATCATAAAACAGACAAACTCATAGAAAAAGAATAAACAAAATATTGCGTAAATAACCACAGATTTGTTTTTTAAACAGTTCAGAATTTTATAACCAAAACAAACCTAAAGAAGGAATCTGTATTTATTTTAATGGTTACTGTGATGGCTACAAGATGGCGATAGTGTTAAAATAGGTTTATTTTAGAATATAAATATAATTCGATTTGTTATAAGAAAAATAATACCATTTATTATTGAATTTTGAAAAACGTGTGAAGTATAATTTATTTGTTGCCACAACACCTGCTTATTTCCTTGGATGTAGGCGTGCCTGCCTCGCGTATGCTAATACGGGAGAAGGAGACAACTATGACATCGCATTGTAATAGAACGAGAGAACAAGGCTAACGCCAATCGTGAGTCTAAATTAGTTCAGGCATGCTTCTGAGCCAATCATCTAGCTATAAATATTAGTTTAAATTGCGGTCGTTTCAAATTCAAATAGTTTAAATGTTGCTGGGCATTCCACGTATAAAATCAATCAATTTTATTGACTATTTCGCAATTCATGTAATCCAAATATTAAAAATTTATAGTATGTTATAGAAAGAAAAATATTTAAATTATACTATATTTTTACAAATATATTGAACAATAATTTTCTAGTATTTAATATAATACACTAGTGTATAGTATACTCATTCATTTGTTAAGTTTTTAAATGTGCCAGGTACAATTTCGAACATAAACCCCCTCCCCAGTTCCTCTCAGCGCCTATGCACTCTGACACTTGTTATCAGCACACGACGTGTCTGTGTGTACACGCTCTGGTCTTCTATACCGCAAGTTTGTTCTGTGAAGAAGTAGTCGACTCGCAAGTGGGGCAGTGCTAGCGCGGAAAGTAAACTCGAGTCCGACGCAGCTCCAATCGACCAGCGGCCGAAACGAAAACGGTCACACGGGCTCAGATCGGGCGGGTCACGCGGCTCAACAAGGAAATTCGGTCATTGGGCAAGTGCACCACATACACACCTGTTTAATTTAGTTTAAGTGTTGTCTTTGACTTTTCTTCGTAAAAGCAGTGTTGAGGTGCAGTGAAGTGTTCTTTAATTTAGTTTTTGATTAAGGAGTTTTAACGCAAAAAGGTTTGTTTTGATTTTATTTTAGTTTTAAGTTATAGATACAATTTATACATTTTTTTAAATCAATCTTTCAAAAACAAAAGTAGATTTAAAAAGTTAAAATATTCGATATAATTAACAGAAATTGACTAATGGGTTTAAGGTGGCACCATTGGTATATTTAAACAGTTTATTAAAAATATAGATTTTGAATCTGAATAGTTAAACAAAATTCCAGGATAATGTCTTAATATATTATTTACCGAAACAGAAAAAAATATTTTTATAAGCATAAAACTGATTTTAATAATAAAACCGCGTTTAAAGTCCTATTATAACCAAAAGTAAAAAAAAAACTAAAAATATTTTGTAAAAAAGTTAATATTTTTGACCAAATATCTTTGTTTTTTAAGGTTGTAGGCAATGATTGTTGAATATAAATAGACCAGTAGCTAATTAACTTATTCAGTATTCACTTGAAGGCGACTGAAGATACTTACCAGTCGAAAAACCGTAATCTAAAAATGAATTAGTCAAAAATAACCAATATGTATATACCCAGTTTATGTTTATTTTTTTATTTGAAGTGCTAAGAGGTCGGTTAAATTAAAAAAAAGTTGCTCAAAATATTTTATAAAACTAAAAACCTTTAAAAACCAAAAATCGTTGTAACTTTGTTACTTCTGGGAATTTTGAAAAAAGTTTGACACATTTCTACTATATTTTGGGTTACCATTACCACCTTTTGTTTTAATAATGGCCGCCATAACTTATGTAGTTGAATTTCTCGATTTTTTTTTTATTTAAGGTATGTAGGCCATAAGAAAACGAACAAGATTTTGAAACAATTAAACATACTATATTAACTTTTTTACAAAATATCATTTTTCGTACAACTTTCCAAACATGTAGTAAGTAATATTTTTTATTAAAAAATTAGTTTAATAAAAAATCATTCCAATTATTGTAGAATAGCTTTTTTAATTTGAGGCTTGATTGTTTACTATTTTATGATTTAATAGACTTTAATGTTAAAAAAAATGTTGAAAATATTGGATTACAATATTTTTTTTATTATTTTATTATTTTTGTATTTTTTAGAAAAACTAATCGAAAATTTATAAATTTATTCAACAAATATATAATTTATTATTTAAGGGGTACAAATGCAACTGCCCTATTTAGCAAAAATGCCTTATCTGCACTCTAAAAATGAATTACTCAAAAATGTCTAATTTAAGTTATTAGTGGCTGCTTTTTCACTTTATCAAAAAAAAACCAAAATTTAACATCCAATTCTTATGTAAAATTGTCCCCTGAATCCGAAAATGTCATCAAAAGTTAAAAAAGTAGAACAGTTTTTGAGATATAGTCAATTTTTCATTTAATATGGAATTGACTATATCTCAAAAACTGCTCTCACGAAAATGATTTTTTGTTGTACAAAACAGATTTTTACAATAAAACCGTTGAGTGAATCAACGATAAAACTAAATTTGAAAAAATCAGTAAAAAAATTATTTTCTATTCATATTTAATATGCTTTACTTTTATTTCACGCAAAAATATGCGAGAAGGAAGTAATAACAAGTTTTCTAAAATGCAAAATATAATTTGATGACATAATAAGATTTAAATGATTATTGTAACCATTAATCTTGATTAACTATACTTAAACAAAGTAGCATGGTTAATTTAAATTTAATTTAAATAGTGAAACAAATCCAAATTTGCTGTAACTTCCTTAAGAACTGGAGCAAGGAAAATTTATTATATTTATATTTATTTATATATCAAACACATGTTTTTTGTTCAAATTGTAAAAGCATTTGCATTTTCGGCCGCTTTGAAAGTAATACCTGTAATTTTCATACAATACCTGACAGTGTAAAACGATTTTTTCACTGTGTGTATTAACAGAGTTAATCTGGGATAACAGGTCCCAAAACCCGAAACACAATAGAGTAGGTAGTGAGTACAGTTCCCGGTTCAAAAAAATTTCGAATTGAACGCCCCCAAGCAGTAACTTACCTGAGTCAAGGAATTTAACCTGAATCGTTAGTATGTCCAACTATTCATTAAAAATATGACAAGGCAACAAAATTGGACAGAATTAATAAATGTTAATGTGAGAGAGAATACGTGTTATACGAGTGGGTTTATGTGTGTTTTACTGTATATTATTTTGTCTATTTATTAAATTTCTAGAAAATATTACAAAATAGACCCTGTATAATATTTTAAACAAAATACACACAAATACTAAGTAAATACAAAACATTATGTCCAAGATTTTCCATTCTCCCTATTTATAGTTGGTTGAATATAGAACGACAACAAATAGGAAGTGTACGATAACTTTAGTTTACAAAGAAGATAATGTTTGTTATGTAATTTTTATTTTGCTTGTAGTTATAAACTTTACACTGACCTCTTAAACTCAAATCATATTGATAATAATTATTGTATTTTTACGTACTTTACTTTAACTAGTAAGTAATAAGTAAGCAAATATTATAGATATCAAAATAATTATAGTAATGAACACGTGTTTGTCTAATCTTAATTCTTAGTAAGAACTAATTTCAACCAATGTAACTCTTTGATTGGAGGTTAAAAATACGAATACTAGTGAAGACAAAATTTTCACTTTAAAATTTGTTCACGTTAAATAACACTACGTTTTCATACATAAACGGACATGTCCATTAAAGGAAAGTCAACATATACATAATCTGCATGACGAGGTTATCATTTTCACTATTACTTATAACTGTTAGTGGCACTAAACAAATCACAATATTGAAGTAAATGTTCAAGACTTATACTTACTGATAAGTGAGTAGTTTTACTACAAATCACAGACATAGTTTTATAGGTCTTGTTTTGTTGGTATTATTGTTATTAAATTTCTCCGTATAGTTTTATATGCTTGTAATAATTGTTTTTAAGTGGTAATAGGCTGCTTCCTGTTGATTTTCATATAGAATATATTTTTTTATATTTTGTTGTTTTTTAGTGAAAACCATTTTATACAACTTTTAGTTTATAAATTAATAATGAACGTAATTTTTGCTATAACGGTTTTAATATGTATATACCCACTTTATGGGTATTTTTTTATTTGAAGTGCTAAAAGGTCGGTTAAATTAAAAAAAAGTTGCTCAAAATATTTCATAAAACTAAAAACCTTTAAAAACCAAAAAAGTTTGACACATTTCTACTATATTTTGGGTTACCATTACCACCTTTTGTTTTTATAATGGCCGCCATAACTTATGTAGTTGAATTTCTCGATTTTTTTATTTAAGGTATGTAGGCCATAAGAAAAACAAACAAGATTTTGAAACAATTAAACATTTTATATTACAAAGTTAAAAAAGTAGAACAGTTTTTGAGATATAGTCAATTTTCCATTTAATATAGAATTGACTATAAAAACTGCTCCACTTTAATAATTTTCGGATTCAGGGAACAATTTTACATAAAAATTTGCTGTTAAGTTTTGGGATACCATGGTTAACCATGGTGTACCATGGTTAACCATGGTTAACCATGGTACAAGCCACAAATAACTATTAAATACCTACATGACTAAAGCATTTTTAGAGAGCAATATTAAGTAATAAAGAACAAATAATAATTTTAATTGTAAAACAATAAACATAACCTCTTGTTGTTTATTATTTAACAATGTAGATAAAGCATTTTTGCTTAGCAGGGCATCTGCCCTCATTCAGTCTTTATTAGTTTAAAAATAAAGGTTTTTAAAGACAAAAGTAAGCCTATAGAAAATGCTTAAAGTGCAAAAAATAAAATAATAAATAAAATTTATACAAATTGATAAAAAAACTTAAAAAAACCTATTTAAAATAAAATAAAACGTCTAGTAGATAAAATAATCCTTATAAACTTAACTAGCTATAGAAAGTTAATTTTTTTTCTTCACAAGCTTATTTACTATAAAAAATAGAAAACCTCTGGTAATGGACACAATATTATTAAGTATAGGTATAATATTATATTATATAATTATAAATAAAAAAGAAATTAAAACAAATTTAATTTGTAAATTTATTTAAAAAAATAAAAATGTGTATTAAAATATGTTGAAAAAAGTAGAAATTAACTTTTAACATTTTTTTAAGAAAAACTATCCAGTAGATTTCCATATTTGTAAACAAACTCAAAATGTTAATTTTTTTACGCTATTTTGGATAAATTTGAACACCTGATGAAATAAAAGCATATAAACAAACAAATTTGCAAAATTAATCAAATTATCTTTGACCTAGCCATGACTTATCGATATTTTTAGGCTCCTTAACCTTATTGGTTTATTTATCACAACCTTCATCCTCAATTTTGCTCATTCTCCATCAAACCTAACAATATTAGTTCAATAATTTCTACTTCCTAACAATATTATAATCATTATTCTACATTTGGTATTATAATCTAATACAATGCAAATAAATTAATAAAATAGGCATGATTTTACGCACTTGTTGGTGCAAATCTGTATCACGATAACTGTATCAAGCATTTTCATAGTTATTTTGCAATAATTAATTAAGTAGTGCAATATAAAAACTACTTTCCGTTATGTGGAGGAATTGGTGCATTTGCGTATAATCCACCTGTTGTTTGCAACCATATCTTTAAAGAGGTAAAAAAATGTTTTTTGTTAAAAAATTATTAAGAACTTTATAGTTTTAAAACCCTAAAAAAAATGATGTCCCTCAACTAATGTTAAAGTTATTGCTTTGTTTCTAGAACGTTTCAGAGCAAGATTGTCATAGGTAAATAGCACAATTATTTTATAAGAAATAATTTGTTTATTGCTTTGAAGTTGCAATGGGACTTTACGTCTAATGTTGCTTAATCAAGTTCAACCGTAGAAAATCAGATTGAATGATGAGTGCAGTTTGAAAAACTTCCTGTGTCATAAGTGGTGACAAGTTTATTCAACTCAAATGCAACACTAGTTTAAATATTTGTGCGAAAGGATTTTTTATAGTAAT